TGAGCCCAATTATAGTAGTTTCCATCCCCTTTTCCATTATCCCTAAACCCTACATCCTGAGCCCAATTATCGTGGTTTCCGTTCTCTTTTCCATTATCCCTAAACCCTACATCCTGAGCCCAATTATCGTAGTTTCCATTCTCTTTTCCATTATCCCTAAACCCTACATCCTGAGCCCAATTATAGTAGTGTCCATTCTCTTTTCCATTATCTCTAAACCCTACATCCTGAGCCCAATTATAGTAGTCTCCATTTTCTTGTCCATTATCCCCGCATAATATACGCTCTATCTAGCTGTTACTGGCTGGGCCAACCCAAGACCCCAAACCCTGGACCCCAAACCCCAAAGGGTTTAGGGTTTAGGGTTTAGGGTCTAACCCTGAACCCCTAAACCCAAACCCTAAAGCAAACCCTAAATGCTCATCCTTCAACCTGCAACCCAATAACTTGAACCGTACTCCCCACGTCCTTTTGCGGCTAAGGTTTACGTAAGGTGTAGGGTCCAGGGCTCCAAACCAACACAAGTCCAGCCCAAACTAGTTGTTACTAATGTTACCTGTGCTGTTATATTTCTTTGTTGCACTTTTTGCCATTACTAGAATATTTATACTAGCGCTGTTAGTAACTATTTCTATTATCATTTCTTGTTATGATTTATACGAGCAATAATAGTAGTAATGATCATAGCAATAACAGTAGTAATAACAATAACGATAGTAATAGTACTACTGTAGTTTCCTTAGACCCATAACAAAACTATCATTTTTGATATTTCCTTAGGGTTCTACTATACCAAAACCAAAAATAATTCCTAAGGACAGTACAGACTAGTAAAAGTAATGATTACTCTTCAACCTACCAGTCTCAAGGCCCAGACTGCCGAAGAAGGCCCTCTACCAGTCCCACCCCCTCCTCTGCTATTCACCTTTCTGGCCCTCTTTGAACCAAAACACTTCGGAAGGATAGCTCAAGGTTGATACTCTTGGGTTTAGGGCTTCGAGTTCAATGAATTTGGGCTGAGCTTGGGGTCTTGGATTTCGGAAGTAAGTCCTAGGGCCTAGGGTTTTGGATTTGTCCTGGCTGTATGCAGGTTCTGCAGCACGTTCACTAACGTCCGCAGACAGAATCTTTCAGTTTCAGGGGCTGTGAATGGTAGCTTCATGACAAATGATTGCCCGTGCTTCGACCACGCCACGCATGTCAGAACAGGAGTCGTCCCGCAACTACTCCACGTTTTCAAAGTCAGGGTTCCCCATCCTAAACCCTAAACCCTAAACCCTATACCCCTAAACCCTAAACCCATGAAGTGGGAAAATAGTTGGAATCCTAAGATATATAAAGCAGAGCGGGCTCGAAGTCTAAGACCCCACCGAATTCAATAAAAAAAACACTTGAATAGTTGCCCTAGGGATCCAAATAGCCCAATGTAGGTCATATTTACAGACTTATAGGCCTAATGTAGGTCATATTTACAGACTTTTGGGCCCAATGTAGGTAATATTTGTATACTTGGATCCCTAGGGTTATTGGGAGCTGCAAAGTGCGACACAACGGCTCGCATGCGGACGCGCAGGGTCCTTGCACAAGTCGAAAAACAGTTGCCAACCACGTGACAAACACACGCACACATACACATCCAAAAGGGATGCCACTGGGCATATTACGGTCTCAAACCCTGGTGTAAACCCCCAATTTGTAGACCCCATCTCCTGAATGGGGATCATAATAGGAATCCTGATATTAAGGCCCTCAAAAGGAGAGGGGGGTTTATGAATCAGGGGTCTACATTAATGTAACCCTAAACCCTAAACAGTAGTTTCCATTTTCTTCTTACAGTATCCCTATATACCCCCAATATTACCCCTATATAATCCATTATAGTGGTTTCCATTGTCTTTTCCATTATCCCAATATAACCCCACAGAACCCTAAACCCTGCTTAGGTCGTTGGAGGAGTCAAGTTGGAGGCCAAAATCTAAGGAGTCCACGGCAAGGCTTTACTTATGCTGCGAAACTAGGGGGGGGTCCAAAAATTTAGGGATCCCTTTTGGGTGGGTCCCTATAATGAGGACTATGGCATGTTGACGTCTACATTGGGGTCCCCCAATTCGCGGAAACTACCGCTACTCGTTATTGAGGGCGCCTGCCTCTAACGGGATCTTTCCAGAGGCCAATTGATTTAAAAAACCGTGGCCTATTATACGCCCCAAGTTATCAGGAACCTACATGTTCTTGCAAGACCATTTAGCAAATCTAACATCTGCAGAATTCTCTTGAGACCCTTTTTTGCCGTCAGCTTTTGCCATGGGAATTTCAACCGATGTAAGTGAAGCCGGAACGCGACAACACCCCTCCAAGCTGTGCAACAGACATCCGACAAAGCTTCCACCAAGCTAAAGCCCTAGCTGCAGATCCCAAGGTACCAAGTAATGCGTTGTAAGCGGACTCAAGCAGCCCGCTAGCTTTGCTCGGTGGTTCGTAGGTAGCTACAGGTCTCCGCATGACGAAGAACATTGCAGCTATACATTCGTTCGTGGACTTCTATAGTCCCCCTTAAGTAGACAGCATATGGCCTCGTGTATATTACTATAAGATCCCTATATACCCCATATTCTATCTACTTAAGGGGGAATGTAACTCTAGATTACCTGCAGCTACCCATGAACCTCCACATGTGAGTACCCCGCAAGGGGCTCATTCAATGCTCAAACTTTCAGAGCTCGAAAGCTATGGGCTCCACTGTCCTCGACAGTCTCAGCTGCTGGATCCTCAACTCGTCACACAACTACTGAACAGTCATGGTGAGACGTGGGGGCTTCCCAAAGAGGTACCATTTTGGGGCGTCCGTATAAGAAGGACTATAGTATTTTGGGGTCAATATTGGGCCCTCTAGTCCGGGAAACTACCACTTCTTGTAAGAATGCGAGAAGTAATACCCAAGAGGCTTTGTCCTTGCTCCTTTCTGGGGTACAGAAACCTGCAGTATCAATTGCGAACAACCACAACCTGAGCTTTCCATACACACAAAGAGGTAGGGTATAATAAGCCTTTAGGCAAACACTGAGCCTGATGCAAAAAGCAAAAAAAACACAACCTCCTTTGACACTTACAATCTTGAAGCTTGTTCGCGCCTCATTGAATGTGCATGCTTCTTCTCAATCTTCCCCCCAAACCCTTCTAAATCCTAGCCAACCTGCCTCCCCCGCCCTTTTCGGCATTCTTTGAGCCCCTTGGCTTATGAGTCTTGACAGTCAAGAGACTCTACTCCTTTGGTTCATGAAGCTCGACACCTTGAAAGTCCCGCCTAACCCCAAACCCTAACGCCTTGAACCCTGAACCTCAAAGCCTCAAACCCGAAAACCTTAACCCACCCGAGTCCAGTCCTTACAGAGAGCCTGCCGGCTGTAGCTCCACATCCCTTGCTGGCGCTTCTGTTGAGGAGGGCCGTGGCTGCCTTCATAGTAGGAATACGAATAATACAGGAGTAACAAAGTTATAGTATCAGATCAATAAGGCAACATGGTAATATGGTACTGATAGAGGAGTGGTATAGCAAGAAATAAAAATGTAGTAACAATAACGTAATGTAGCGCCCTTGTAATTGAATATTCAAGGGCTATGAAAGTCGGTACAGGTGAGGGTAAAGAATCATTTGAAAAGATGTCGTCACAACCCCACTAGCAAGCTCTGGCTGACCAGCCTACTAGAACTACTTTTTGTTTTCTAGGAGCACTTATGAACTCACCCGAGCCTCTGTTTCGCCTTTGCATGCCAGGCGTGATTGCCGCGAACACCCTATACCATGAACCCTAAGCCCCTTGGTGAGTAAGGTCCGTGTTCAGAGATTTGAGCCACCGCTAATGTTTGAGGAAACCCGTTCCCTCATGACAAAACGCACGACAGCGTCCTAACTCCTAACCTGAGTCTGCAAGAAATGCGCAACCCCCAAGGGTTCAAGTACTCAATAATCATATACTTGCCCAAAAGCTGCACTACAATTACTATCATCCCAAACCTAAGTACCTAATCATCAGGTATATACCTGGTCCTTTAGGGAAAGTCAGAAGCCCTGAAAGCCTTAAAACCCTAACACCCAGACCCTAAACCCTTAACCCTCAACCCTAAACCTTGGGGAAAGTTGGGAGATGAGGTTCGTGGAGCGCTTTGCTGTAGCTTTGCTTCGCTTCGGGGTTGCTTGATCTTGAAAGGACCCTCAATAAATTGCTGCTGTTTTAGGCCATCCCTGTACTCAGGGCTAAAACTCTGCACCCTAAACCTTAACTTTCATGCAGTCCGCCTGGAGGTTTCCATACAATAAGGCACCCTCAAAAAGGGACCCTGATTTATGGAAACCTTCAACCCTGCGTACCTATATAAACCTGTATTTGTACCCTGTAACCTCTCTCAAAGGGACTCCGGAAACCCCCCTAATCCCATGCCTATATCTGAGGAAGATGACCCGAAACCGTAAACACTAAATCCTAAACCCCAAACCCCTGCCTATATCTGAGGAAGATGGACAAGACCACCAGGCCAGCAAGGAAGAGGACGACAACGCCAAGGATTTCCAAAAAGTGCCAATGGCTATGGGTCGCCTTGGGGAATTATTTGAGCTATAGTCTAAACTCCTAGTATCCCCCTTAATAACCCCTATAGTAGTCCCCTATATAATCCCCTATATAATCCCCTATATGATGACCTTTAAGGAGTTTACACTATAGCTCATTTGAGGATTTAGGGTGTTAGGGGCTTAGGATTTGGGGTTTAGGGCTTAGGGGATTGTATGGGGGTAGTATAGAAAGTATGCAGGCCATGCAAGGATTGTGTGCTGTATGTGGCTCTGCTGGGTGAGATGTGGGGCATCGAGAATCAGATGGACAATGAAGTTGAAACTGAGGGTTCGTGGGGGTATGCGAGTGAAATGGACACCAGAGGTTTGTAGAGATATACGGGAAGAATCCTGGGATGATAGGAGTTAGGGTCACTATATACCCTAAGGGTCCACGTATCCAATAATCATATACTTACCCAAAATCTGTACTCTAATTATTATTACCCAAATCCCAAGGACCTACTTCTGGGGTACTTGGACCCTTAGGAATAATGATATTACTGTATTACTGCTAAGGCATGGTTACCCGTGAACCTACGAACATCAGCCCAAACCCAAAATTCAGCTTAGAGCTTGATGGGTTGTTACAAGTACGCTCCTAAGCAGGATAGCTACAGCTTAAACTTATGTGGTGGAACCCCCAAGCCTCATCATAGCTTTCGATAATTCTGCACTTAGCCACATCTCGCAATTTTAGAACTGGTCCCCCAGTGTAATTACTTCACCCCAACCAAAATTCCTGAAGCCCTCTGAACCTCAGAGTAGTTTTGCCTTGGTGGCGGGCCTGCGGCGTTCCCAGCACGTAGCCACGGATGTCGTTCAGAATGCTTTCAGCGAACTCCATGAAGTCTTCGTCGAGGAATACCTCAAAAGCGGGCATGGGGGCTCCGTAGCCCAGTTAGGTTACTTGCCTTCTACTTGGAGGGTCCCGGGGTCTTGGTACATAGGTTAATGATGGGGATAAATAGGGTTACTATGTGGGTTATAGGGGCTATTAACCTACTTACTAAGTCCCCCTGACCCTCCAAGTAGACTCCTGACCCCTAACTACCCCTTTTTTCTGATTCCCATATTTTTGTGTTCTGTATACAAGATCAAGTAGCCTTAAAAGGGGGTTGGGTATAGAGGTCTAGGTAGAACGAACCAACGAACGATTCCAAGGAATTCTCTAGGGCCTTTCGCAACACCTGACTTTGATTCCAGGAATTTGATTGGGGCGTACTGTTTAATTAAGCTGCAGGGCGGAAGGATTAAGGCCCTAGACCCTGAACCCTAAACCCGAAACCCGAAACCCTAAACCACTAAACCCTACACCCTAAACCCTAAACCAAATCACCAGATCTTGACTCACGAAATCCCTCTGCAATGGGAAGTTTCGGAGAACCTCATTGACTCTAGATGCCTGATAGGATTTAGGGTTTGGGTTTAGGGTTTAGGGTTTCATTTGTAGCGACTGTAGGATCCAAATCCCAAACATGCCCTGAGTCCTAGAGACTGGAGATTTCTAGGCCACCATTACACTCAAGGTTTAGGGTTGAGGGTTACTTGAAATCAGGATTTGGCTGCAACCCCGGCTCCTGATGCCAACAGCCGGGTTTAGGATTTAAGGGTTTATGTGAGCCATCGTCTAAACTGCTAGTATCCCCGTTAGTAAGCCCTATAATACTCCCCTATATAATCCCCTATATAACCCCCTTTAAGGAGTTTAGACTATAGCTCATGTGGTTTTCTCACTGCCTGAGCTAAGGAATGCCCAAGGGCCAGAAGCTAGGGAACCTATGACACCCAAGATGTCCATTTCATCTTTTACGGTTTAGGGGCTTAGGGTTTAGGTTTTAGGGGTTTAGGGTTTAGGGTTTAGGGGTTTAGGGGTGTAGGGTTTCAGGTTCCACTTTCTGTTCCATGTGATTCTCCATCATTGGTATGCTAAACTTTACATAACACTATGTAACATAATTGTTACCATGTCACCTTCCATTTGTCCATCTGCTTCTCCATTATTGTACCATAAAAACTCTGGTACGCAAGGCCTGGGTATCTTTTTGTTAAGGTTTAGGTTTAGAATTTGGGCTTAGGGTTTTGACTGGATATCCGATTGCTCTATGTCAAAGGAGCTACTGTTCCTGAACGAACCCCTGTGGAACAGTTATTGTGACTACGATGCCCACATGCCCCTTAATAAAAGCGGCACCTGAGTTGCATAAGAAGGCCCAAACAACTCTCTCAGCACTGAGCTCAAAAAATGCAGGACACCAGCTTTGGCAGCAAAACTACCGAATGCTCAACAGCGCGCTCCATAATCAACTACCCCTGTGTTAAGTATCCGGGCCTGACTGTAGGCAGTAAGCTCGACTGTGTCCCAGGTGTAGAAAGGCGCTCTTCGCAACAGCACCTTTGTGGGTTTAGGGGTTTGGGATTTAGGGATTTAGGGTGCGGGTTTAGAGTTTAGTGTTTTGGGGTCTCCTTGTATACAGCCCTTAATATTACAGACTGTTACTGGGCGGCGGCAGTACCCGACCGTTGTATACTCCTAGTCTGACTGGAGGACTGACAAGGAAAATAGAAGCTACGATTTAGGGTAATTCGGGAAGGGAGGTATAATAGGATAGAGGGACGATTAAAGTGGATTATGTATGGGTTGAGGGCTTGATGGTCTAAACATTCCATATTGTGGCCTTCGGATCTACCCTTAACCCTAAGCCGCCGCTAAACCCTAAACCCGCACTTGTGGCTGCACAGTGCAGGTGGACCACTCAGCAAGCCCTTTGCTGAGGTTCCAGGCATTTAGGATCAGGGTTTAGGGCTTAGGGTTTGGGGCATGTCTTACGACCGTAAGAAGGAACTGGTTCCAGACGCCTAGTGCTGGACAAAGTTTGCTATTCCTTAAACTCGCAAAAAACTTGCAAGGGCAAACCCTACACATCTACTAGTAGTTCTAGTAATACCAGTAATTAACCGCAATAGGAATCCTAGTACTAGTAATTTATAATAATGAGCCTAGACCTTAAACCCTAAACCTTGGGTACTGCCCCTCCTCACTAACAGTTGGAGAATAATTATAAAATGGTTGTATATAGCCCTTAATAGGGCCCCTAATGTAGACTGTTACTGGGGGGGGGCAGTACCCAACCTAAACCCTATAGCCTTACAGGCACCCGGGCAGTGAAGCCATCACCTTCACCTGTGTTCTTCAGCTTGCTGTAAGCCTCCAGAAAGCTGACGCCAGCCCACTCCTTGGAGATTTTTCTCGGAAGTTAGGGGGTTCAGGGTTTAGGGTTCAGGGTCTAGGGTTTAATGTTCAGGGTTTAGGGTTTAGGGTTTAGGGTTGAGTGTTCAGGGTTTAAGGTCTAGGGCTTCATGAAGCCTAAACCGTTAACCCTAAACCCATTTCATAGGCTTTGGGGGTTCAGGTTTTCAGGCTCCCGGGATGATGGGTCCAAATGCGATATATCACTGAGATGAGTCGGCTGGGAAGTACAATCTCGCTGCGTATTCGCAGGGTTTAGGGCTTATAGGGTTCCAAAACAATGAGCATCCCTTTTACAGTAAGGATTATATGGGTTGCTCTCAAAATCATGGGCCGATTTGGTTGCAGAATATATTGCGGCACCTCATATTTGGGGGTACTCAAACGGGACCCTAATTTGGGGAACTACCCATACAGTCTATTGGAGCTCGTAAAAAGGGACCCCATGATGCCTGGAACAACCCCACACTTGGAGGGTCAGGGGGACTTAGTAAGTAGGTTAATATCCCCTAAAACCCACATAGTAACACTATTCATCCCCATTATTAATCTACATACTACGTCCCCCTGCCCCTCCAAATCTTTGTGGCTGCAGGATATCTGCACCATTTTGGACCCTTACACTCATCTAGCCTTAAGATGGTAAGGGTGTACCTAGACCCCCCAAGTACCCTATAATAGGGTCTATGTAGCTTCTATTTGGGGATACTCAGGGTCTATAGAGGGTACTTGGGGGGTCTAGGTCGAGTGTAAGGTTTAGGGGTTAAGGTTTAGGGTACCCTTTTTGGGGGGTCATCATAATAAGGATACTATTATTTTGGCATCTATATGGGGGTCCGGGAACCTAAAGATTTGGGGTTATTCTAGGTATCAAATAACAATTCATTGTACGTAATGTCCGGGACCTGAAGCCCCACTTTTCTGGTACCTGGACAATACTGATCCCTAAACCCCAGACCCTAACCGCTAAACCGTGCAGCTTAGGGTGAAAGATGTTCTTTACTCATCACATCCCTATGATCCAAGTTGTAAATACTTTAGATGGACCTCCCCCCGCCCTGTAATGGTGGTATAATGGGAAACTAGGAGGACCCTGAAAGAGTCACCAAGTTTCCTTGTAGTCACTTTGCTGGGGAGTCCACCTACTGTAATCCCCCTACACCTACAGCATTGTTTGTAATAATTCCCTCCAGTTCTCTACTATAATAACAAGTTGAAAAGATTTGAAGCATTAAGACTTCCTCCAAGGAAGGATGACAAGCATAATTCTATCCCCCGAGTTCTTTGCACTGGGGTTTAAGAGTTTACAGGGTTAGTCTAGTGTTCTTCTTGGGGTGTATCATAGAACCTTCGAAAACCGTGGAAACTCAAGCCGCAGGGGTTTAGGCGCCTCACCCCAAATCCTGAACCTACTGAAATGCCAACGTGCTGAATCCTAAGCTCCAAGCCACAGACTAAACTCAAAATCCGACCTTTTTGGCGGTGTCTCACATTAGCTTATAGAGGTATCCATAGGGCCCTAAGGAAATGTAGATGCTACCAGAGGCTTATAATCATAAGGGCCTCCAGTACTGAGGAGTCCGCGAGGATTAGTTTGAGAAACTGCAACCGAAAATCCTCATGCTCGTGGCCAGGGGGAAGGCCAGATTTGTTCTGCCAGTCTGTGCTGATATACGCCAGATCCTCAGTCTGTAGAGACAGGGATTTTTGGAAGCTGTAGGAGCATTCAACTGTATCTCAATTGGCGCCGAGAAGGACAACCACGTATAAAGGGCAAACCACTACGGGAGGTATATGCACAGCTACTCGAGCTGCTCTCTTAAATGCAACATAAACACATAAGAAGATTGCATAAAACAACAACTGTCTATGACACACGGGAGCCTGAATTTCTGAGCACGCACAAAACGTTTCCCCTAGGGATCCAAATAACTTAATGTAGGTAATACTTACAGACTCTTGGGCCCCTATGTAGATAAAAATTTGTATGCTTGGATCCCTAGGGTGCTCCTTGATAGTTGCTCCTGTGACATTCAGAAGTGCCTCATGACACCCCAGGCCTTAAACCCAAAATGCTCTTGGCTGAGAATTATTCCCCTTGTTCCGGGCAAGTTCAGAAATTCCCAAACTGGAGGAACCAAATCCTAGAATTTTCCTAGAATGTTGGAATTGTTGGGGAGTTTTTGGAATGTGGATGTTTGGGACTTGTTGGCATTTTCATTTTTTGCGATATTTGGACTTCTAGTAACTTTTGGAAGTTAATTGTCTAAAAGCTGCAGGAGTCAGTTGCCTTTGGGAATGTTAGACGAACTTTGGGCTGCAAAGTCTGTTATATGTGCTGAAAAACTCAATAAAAAGGTAGGTCCATGGGTGGGGTGCTTTATATACATATATATATATACATATAATACCTATGAACCATCCACAAAATGGGTCTTGCACTTTGGCCTGGTACTTCTGGTCTTCTAGTATGGGCCCTCGATCCTCAGGTCCCAATATACCTAACATATACACATGAGTAGCGTTTTTCTTGTGGTTAAACCCAATAAGATTAAATTCCCTATATAAAATACCATGCCCCAAAAGGAAGATAGAATCTTACTCTATATTGGGTACCATAGTATCCCCAAATAAAATACTACTCACATGTACATACACGTATAACCTTGAGGCAGCCTAGACCCCCCTTGACAACAAAAGCGCAAGGGCCCATCTTAGGGGCGCATCTTTCAACACTTCAGCCATCTAAACCCTACACCCTAAACCCTAACCCCTGACCCCTCAACCCTAGACCCTAAACCCCACACGCTGAACCTAGACCCTAAAACCTAACTAGGTTTCAGTTTAGGCTCGTTGGCTATGTCCGCAGGCAGGACAACCTGTGGGATGAGGCAGAGGTACCCTCCACTAAAGGGATGGAAACTACTATAGTATATTAGGGTTTAGGGTTTAGGGCTTGGGATTTAGGGTTTAGGGTTTAGGGAGAATATAGGTATGGTATAGGGATGATGGAAAGGAAAATGGAAACTACTATAATGGGTTATATTAGGGTTATATCCATCAAACTAACTTGCAAACCCGTTCAAAAGGGCCCAGATAAGGACTATACCAGGTATAAAGGGCCACATGAGGACTATACCAGGGATATATGGGAATGGGGATAGGGCAGGATGTTTGGGGTGTAGGGCTTAGATTACATTTCCAAAACATATTGGATCCCCATACGCGCGAATTGGATCGTAATCTTTGCGGAGCCATTCTTTGGGGTTCTGTATGAAATGGGGGTATGCTAGGAACCTAGGGATATATTAGAACTATAACAGGATTTGGGGGTCCTCGTTCAGGATACTAGGGGATTACTTTGAGAAGCTTCCATACTAGCTTGGGAAAGGATACACACATGTACTTAAGGGCTCATGATTCGCTGGAAGTTGGTGTGTTAAGTAAGAAGCCCTTACTGCAACTAGGAGTTCTACTTGGGACGAAGGCTACGCTTCATAGAAAAACCCAAGCCCTAAAACCTCGACCATCTCTAAATCCCCCCACACCCTGCACAACCCCCAAACGGCACGTTCCTGCATGTCCCCTTTTGCCCACAAGAGCACTAGCAGGCCCATAAAGCATTCTCCATTTAAGAAGCCCTCAACTCCCAATCAAGCCCAACGGACCACTTGCTCCGAAGAAATCAGGCCGAAACCCTCAGCCCTCGCGGTTTAGGGTTTAGGGCTTGAGGGTTGTTCAAGGGGGCGCCCTGGCCCTAAATCCCAAACCCCAAACCCTAATCACAAAAACCCCAACCCTCAAACTCACACATTGCAAGTAAGTTCAGCACCCAAAAGCCCAAGCATCCATACTATAGCGAATACTACGACAATGGCTAGTTGCGTTGTCATTACTACCACAGCTGTTACTGCCATACCCGAAAATCACTCATTTTGTATCTTCTTTTTACCCCCGCCATAGAAATCAATATTACAAAGCCCTAAACCTAAACACTCACCCGAACACTCACCCTAAACCCCATAAAAGTATCATTATTACCATATTGGCACCTGGAGTAGGACTCTGGAGTAGCCCCGAGTGAGAGCTTCCGTCGGTAGTCCGCCGCTGTGTAGCGCCTTCGTCAGCTCCTCGCGAGGGTGGGGGCTAACATTAAGCGTGGGAGGGACTTAGGGCTTTGCGCTGATGAGGTTTTACGGTGTAGTAATCAAGGGGTTTGGAGTCAAAGGGTTCCTTGCTAGGGTTCGGGCTTGGGAGCTGCGACTTTACAAGGATTACTGGCATTTGGTATCTGGGTCTGCAGATTCTTTTCCAATGCGCTGCCACTTCGGTGCTACCTTGGGTGTTGTGGTTCAACCCTATAGTTTAGGAGGACCCCCCACCCTGTAATAGTGGTATAATAGGAATATTTGAGGACCCTAATATAATCCCCATTATCCACCTAACCTATAGTTGCGACAAAGGCAGCCGCCAAAGACCAAATGGAGAATTGCGTCTTGCATCTTCAAGCAGCGGCAGGCTGTCAACCACTTACCCTAGGGATCCAAGTACACAAATATTACCTACATTGGGCCCAGAAGTCTGTAAATATTACCTACATTGGGCTGTTTGGATCCCCAAGGTTACTTAACCAACATGAGCCGTGTGCACTGCAGCACTTTGAGACTTGCTTTACCAGTGGCCACATAGCCAAACGAGTACGGAGAGACTCCAAAGCTTCTAAAGGCATTTTACAGTATAGGGGGTTATTGAATACATGCTCCCCCTGATTTGTGTAGAGCTGCTGTAATGACTTGTTACTCGGACGACTACCAAGCTTCTAGCACAACTGTGCATTTGTCACATCTGCATCCTTTTGGCAGGGCATACCCTAAACCCTAAACCCCTAAACCCTAAACCCCTAAACCCTAAACCCTCAAAGCCAGCCATCCCATGACTGCCTTGGTCCGGGTGCTTGCCACAGTGTCAAGATCCATCTTTGGCGAGTCCTCGGCGCCCAGTCGAGTAGTGCTTCGGGTCTCTACTACGGTAATGTAAACCCGTGACTAATAACCCCCCCTCCTTTTAAGAGCCTGAATAGTAGGATCCCTACTTATGATCCTTTTTAAGGTGGGGGTTTATTAATAAGGGGTCGTCATGCATCCCTCAGAGATGGGACTGAAAAAGGCCACGGCTCTGAGTAAAGTCTTGTAAAACGCCCCTGGCCACTTTGGGGGTTTCTCCAACATTGGGGATCCCTGTTTGGAGGCCCTCTAGCATATGGACCTCTATATGGGCCCCCCTTTTTTGGAACCTCCACAATTGTTGTTGAACGACTGAACGACTAACTGATCCCGACAATTGCCCATCTTGGGCTAGATGAGCCATGGCTGTGTCGACACAAGGGCATCATTCTTGCGGTCATGTATTGCTCCGCGAAACCACAAACATACCCTTGAGCAAAACTATCAGACCTGAACATGGGTTCCACACCGTCAAGATGCCTGTCAATTTCATCTTTTAAGCCCTGCACGCATCCACTCTGAATGTCGTTTTCCTGAAATTGTGTGATTACTTGGATATCAGACAGGCTTTGCCTTTTCCATGCAGAAGCTTGAAAAGGCCCAGCATACAAGCTTGTGTGCTTGTGCAGAAGACTGCTCAGAAAACAAACCTCATTGCTTCGAATTCCAACCCTTCTTCAGTACATGGTGTCAGTCGATAAATTGCTGGCACAGGCTCAGGTGGAAAAGGCTCGGCGCTTCCGCTCCAGCATCTCTCCATGATCTTCTGCCTGACAGAGAACATGCAGTACCCTTAAAAGCTGAGACCTAGCCATGACGAAGCGGCGGCGGGCGAGGAGCTGGAAAAAGGCTAGTAAGAATGGAGCTGAGGCCCCAAACCCGATTAGCACGACACTACAGTTTTCTGATGGCCGCATGCTGTGTCGGAATGAAGGCCGTTCACAGGCTCGTGCACTACGACGCATTGACCGCAACAGCTAAAATGCATTTGCAGTGCAGATGCGAAGCAGCCAGAACCAGAGAGTCTATCTTAATGAGGAGCCGAATGTACAAGACCTCCCGGCCAGACCTACAATCTGAACAAACTGGTCCCCACATCTTAAAAGCACACCCATGGCTCGACTGGGGGTGTTCGAAAATCAGGGACCCCTTTCGGGGGTAGGTATACAACAAAGAAGCCTATCTATGCAACCCTAAGGGTCCAAGGACCCAAATAGTAGGGTTTTAGGGCCCAAATGCTATAATGTGAATGGTATTTGGGCCCTAAAACCCGATTATTTGGGTCCTTGGACCCTCCTAAACCCTATATATCCCCCTAGAACCCCTTTAAAGGGACTCTATTATCCCTTAGGGAAGCTTAAGCCATATTCCTCATCTTAGGGGACTTGGTTTGCTTACAGGTGGACAGTAGGGAATAAGGGAATATACTCCCTATGTAAACCCTAGGGTTTAGGGTTTAGGGGTTTAGGGCTTAGGTTTCTTATTAATGCAATCCCTTATTCCCTACTAAACCCTAAACCCTAATGCCTAAACCCTAAACCCTGCCCAGCAAGTTTGGGGTTGGGAAGCTCAGAATTCAGGTTGCCAAATAGTAGCCATAGCTCAGAAGCCACCAGACATCAATGGGGTTTCGCAGAACAATTGCCTTTTGTTTATGGGGTAGCCCTAGGGATCCAAGTATACAAATATTACCTACATTGGGCCCAAAGGCTGTAAATATTGCCTACATTGTGCTACTTGGATCCCTAGGGTAGCTCATGTTGAGCAACCATGGTGCATTACGAAACCCCCAGTGTCCTTCAGAAAGTTGGAGCCTTCAGGTAGCGTGAATCTTAAACCTGGCTGCTGGCCAACTAGCCAGCAACACAGGAATGATGGTCATCGTGTCATGGTAGTGGTAGTGGCAGTAACGACTTGTAGCACTACGCCGTTGGCGTTGCCGCCGTTGTGGTGCTAGCGCTAGCAGAGACAGTAGCAGAGTGGCAGCAGCCGTCGCGGTAGTTGCAGGAGCAAGAGTAATCGCAGCAGCACCAGCAGTAGCAGTATCAGTACAGTAGCCTGAAGACAGTAGCCACAGTGGGAGCAGGACCAGCAAGAGTTTCCACAAAAACCAAACCGTATGCATAACAGTGGCAAACATAGCAATTAGTAGCTACCATGCCAACAAATTCGCTCCTTCAACTCTTACTAGCCGACTGGCTCAAACGCAAGATCCAGACTCAAGACCTTCGCCAGAAGTTCTGCTGGTAGATGGGAAAGCGCATCTGTGCCGCGCACTTGAGCAAGGAAAGCAGGTTATCCTCAGTTGGAGCGAATTACAAAAAGTCGTTTTGATCTAGTGAAGACTACGTTTCCCAATCAGTGTAAGAAGGAGGGGGTGCAGCTTTAGCTTCAAGAAAGCAAATTCCCTAGTTTCCATTTCATTTTCCATTTTCTTTTCCATGTGATTCTCCATTAACCCCAGTATTATCCCAACATAATCCCATTATGGCCTTCAAGGGCCGGCAGAGAAGAAGACTGCAAAGGATGGCATGTCGTGTATATACTAAGCGCCAAATGCTGCGAATCCTTTGCCCAAGAGCCTAAGCCCGAAGCGAAGAAGCTTTTCTGTTCTTGCTGGTGGTTAGTATGGAATGAGGGAATATAATCTACAAATACTTCCCATATAACTTAAGATACATATGTATCTCTCTCTCTATCTCTCTCTCTCTCTCCCTTATTCCACACTATCCCTTGGTAAGCTGTTGAGTCCTGGTCTCCACCTTTTGGATGACTGCTTGGCCAGGACTGAGAGCACCTCAGCTACTCCGAAAGCCTGTTGAGGGTTTAGGGCTTAGGCTTAGGTTTTAAGGTTTAGGGCCTAGGGGTTAGGGTTAAGGCCGCTTAGGGTGTATGAAAATCAGGTTCCAAAGTGAAGTAGACGACTCCTTCCCTGCAAGGACTTAGGATGCAGGGTCCCACTGGGGCTCCCTACTCCCTATCACTGTTGACAAGATTTAGACACAACAGGGATTCGAGCGTCAACATTTGCTTTGAAAATTGCGACCCTGAGACGTCCAATGCCTGTGACTGTTGCGACATTAAATCATTAGACACGCGTAGAAGATGTGTCCAAATTGGAAAACAGTGGCGAGGATATGACTGCAAGTGCTGTCGACTCGCAGCACATGGCGAGGATGACAGGGAGAGACTTCAAACGCTTTTGGAAAACAAATGACATGTTCCCTCTCACCCTCCTGGCAGAAAGCCAATGGGCCAAGCCCGTAGACATGAAGCCAAAAGGCAACTTCAGTCATAACCGGGAGCTGGCATAAGCCCCGCATGCCTCATCCAAAGATTCTGCCACAGAAGCTCAGAAAACAGCAGCCAAATTGAGGAGACCCTAAACTTTCAAGCCCAAACCTGTATCATCCCCGTGCAAGTATAATCTTAATGCACACATACAGTATATATACATATCTATATATGTACCTACACCTGCATAAAATCCCATCTAAAACCCCTCAAACTGTCCATGGCTTAAACCTGGCCAAGCGCTCAGCAACTGATCAAAGGCGGAGATCCGGTCCCCGAAGTACGGGCGGGACCCCCCCTTGGGGCTTTCCGGTACATGTTCGGGTTTTGGGCTTATAGCTTGGAGTATGACGTTAGGGGGTTAGGGTTGAAGGCTTGGGGCATGGCGGGATTTCTTGGCTCTGGAACCCTCCCAAATTGTTTCTCGCTGTGTTATCGTGGACTTTCAGCAGCCAAAATACGTTCATGACGCCCCTAGTCATAGTCAGGACGCTAAAAGGCGATTAGAACTCCATGGTCTGGTGTGGGTCTAAGCCCCTTTAAACTAACGTGGAACTCCGCTTTTAAATTGACGGGTCTCTATAGATACCTTTTTGTTCCATAGAGGCTTTGGGGAAGGTAGACCCCAGGCCGTAAAGCTGCAACCACATAAGAAAACATGATGCATGCAGAGCCTAGACGCAGAAAACTGGTCCGCATTCAAGTCCCCGTAGACGTCAACGTAGTTCCTTCTCTCTGGCCCTAGGGATCCAAGTATACAAACATTACCTACATTGGGCCCAAAAGTCTGCAAATATTCCCTACATTAGGCTATTTGGACCCCTAGGGTAGGGTTTAAGGTGCAGGGTTTAGGGTTTAGCATCGCATTTGACCTTGGTAGGTACCAACTACTACGAAAGAGCCAGGATTTATGCGCCTGGACTGTGACTAAGCTTCCCCTGACCCACCCTTTTATCCGCACTAGTCCCCTATGACATGGGGGGAAGGTTCAATGTAGGTAACATTTACAGACTTTTGGGCCCAATGTAAGTAATATTTGTATACTTGGATCCCTTGGGTGACATTGAGCCAAGCTTCAACCTAAAACCCGACCAAGCTCCTGATGCCACAGACCCGACCAAGCTCCTGATGCCCCAGGTAAGGTTGCATGCTGCTAGTGCAAGCCGTACCACCGCCCCTTGTATTGATTAACGCGCCTACTATTGGGTGCTAAGCTGCTATACAACATCACCTATATGATGCTTCTCCTCACAACCACAGACAGGGACCAACTGGACCCCAAGAATGTCCGCAGAATGTCCCAGTGAATGCCCAAGATGCGTGAATTGAGCCCACACGCTCATCTCATCGTTTTCTGATTGCCACCTGTTTAATGCTGAAGGCCTACTCAGACAGTCTTGGCCTTCTGTTCTGACTGCCTTCGAGGAAAAGCCAGCAGCTTAAGCTCATTTGCATACACTAGGAGATGTAGGACACATTTTCCTGCGAATCATGACGTGTTCTTGCGGATAGCTTCGTTACTGTATTACATTGGGGAACTGATCATGGGGGGAACCCTAAACCCCAAAGCCTAAGCCCTCCATGCCTTGGATCCTTTGACTTTTAGAGGGACTATACTATAGTAGCTTCCATTTTCTTTTCCATTATCCCCATATCCCCTACCTAACCCCAATATACTACAGTAGTTTAGGGTTGAGGAGTTTAGGGATAATGGAAAAAATGGAAACTATCTGGGTCATCAGTCATCAACCCAAGAATTTGAATTCCATCCCTTTTTTACAAGGGGAAGACAATTCTTCGGTGAGTTCCGAAGGCCCGCATTCCGGACCCTAAAGGTCCCAGTGCTGAAATATGGTAACCTCATAGGGTTTTAGGGCCCAAATATGATGATACTAATGGTATTTGGGACCTAAAACCCTACTATTTGGGCCTTGCGCCCTCAGGAGTACATTCGTACACCTAAAACCCTACTATTTGGGTCCTTGCGCCCTGAGGGGTACATTCGTACACCGAACACCGAACTATGTATGTCGGAGCTCATGTGGGCCAAAGGTATACTCAGGTAGCATGCCCTAGGTGCTCCCACCAATTGGACACCAAGTAAATCCACTGACCGATGTCCGTGAATACATGTGAATTCCTTGACTCTTGAGTCCTTTACGTACTTGGGACCTACATTGGGCGATTCTCACATAACTCTGTCTCATTTGGCTAAACCCCAATACCGAATGCTAAGGTAGAATTTGAAGTATCTCAAGAAAAGGAGGCAGTCGAAGGGTAGTAGCGAGAGTCTGGATCCATCTTCCATGCAGCTCCTACGGTGGATGGAGGAAATCTTGCACCACCCTACATGGAAGTTTCCCTAAATTACTGTTCCCAAAATGGGGGAAATTGATATAGGGCCCCGTATTATAATAGGAACCTAAATATAGGACCCCGTATTGACAGAAATTCAGGACAATCCCCACATATCTCCTGTCATGGGCAATCGCAAGTGGTGCATCCTTTATTCCATCAACCGCAGCCGTCATGTCCAGCTTCAAAAAGGGGTATAGAAATCTCTCAACAAATGGGGGCACTGCGGGCCCTAGGAAAGGGGATGATAGAGGCTACCTCGGAAGAGCTGTTGCATGTAATAAATGTAGTGTGTGTCAGAAGTTAACACATGAACCTAAATTAGTAGCTGCCAAGACTTGGGGACCGTGGATATCTACCAAAGTACTGCGAGCGGTGATCAGGATTCATCGCGCAAGTCTACTACCAGAGATTTTGCACGTCGATGCAATCAGGTAGCTCCTCCTTAAGAACACTCATATGAGCCAGAATCTAAACTCCTAGTATCCCCCAATAACCCTCAAAGAAGTCCCCTATAGAGTCCCCTATAAATCTCCCTTTAAGGGTGTTTTCACTATAGCTCATGTTCGCCAAGATACTGATTACTCGTCGCCGTCCCGAGCAAGTTTGTATGAGTCTTCAGTAGTCCTTTGCTTGAAGAAGTAGAGCCAAAAAGTTATGATACATTGTCACATACTGTAGTCTACAATAATATACTCGAACATACTATAATATTTTAACTGTGATGTACCATCAAATACTACCATACATTATGAGGAAACTTTTTGCGCGTTCTGTGCTGTATGACTTTGCAACAGCTGCCAAGGCCGATGCTATGTCTTCAAGATATAAAGGGTTTGCGGTTGATGTCTGACACCAAATTTTGAGAGAGAAGGGTGAGTCAAGAAATGGATATCCCTCTTGAATTCCGCTGCTGGAACACCAACCTCTCATGCTAAAATTTGCAAAATTTGCAAGCCCACCCAACCCTAAATCCTGAAGAGGGTCAGTTCTAAAACCTAAAACACTGTTGTCTGTTCAGGCCCTTTTTGGGGGTTCCAAATTTATTTGGGGCAAGTCAAGTTGTGTCTTTATCCCCGCCTCACGGAACCCCTCACATATCCTACACAGAACTGGGTTGCTGTCAAGGAACTCGAGTTAAGCTCTTCAACAGCATCCCAGACATGAACTGAAGATACAGGAGCCAAGGGACAGAACTTCAAATGCAACATGAAAAGAATTTAAGCTTGTTCTGGCACAGCTCCCAGTACATTCCACTCGGAAAAGGTTCCATTTTCTTTTCCATTATCCCAAAATCTCCCCAATACTACCCCTATATATCCCATTATAGCAGTTTCCATTTTACTTTCCATTATCCCAATATATCCCAGTATATCCTAAGCATATTTCCCATAGCAACCCTGCGGCCTTCGCCCTTTGAACTACATTAGAATAAGATCCCCATATACCCTCTATTCTATCTACTTAAGGGGAACTGTAAATAGGAAGTCAGATTCTAGGCGGATGTTGAACGTAGCTTCTTAGTTACTACCTAGGTGGCAAATCCTATTCCATTCGAACGTTCTCAGCGCTCCATCCTTAATTCACAAGCCCTCTGCAATCTCTACATCAAGCAAATTTCCTACGTCAAACCTTGCATCAGCCTACTAGTCCAAAACCCTAAACCCCTAAACCCTAAACCCTATGAACCCTAAACCCTAAACCCCCTAAAACCCCAAAACCCAAAACCATCTCAGCTGAGTTGCTGTCCTGGACCCCAACTGTCGGCAGGCCACTGTAACCTTGGTAACACGTTTATCCAAGTCGACAGTGGTTAGGGTTTAGGCTTTAGGGGTTTAGGGTTACCACCCCGCCCCCCCCCACAAAATTTTGACCTTGTTGCTCAATTAATTTTGATATGGGAAGGGGGAACCTAAACATCATCCCATATAATGCTATACACACCATACACCTATAAACTCCCCTATAAAGACTCTATGTTACCCTATAGAACCCCTGTATCACATGATAAAATTGCAAAAACAATCACATCGGGCCTACATTTAGCAGTTTAAGGTTTAAGGTTTATAGGGCCTAGTTGATTGAACAGTTTCCATGTTCCTTTCCAGTCCCTCATATGCCCCTACAAACTCACAGAAACCCTATGGAAACCATGTACCATGTAGATCTCCCTACATAACCCTATACAGTAGCGTATACAAACCCATATGCCCTGCGGGAGGTGATCTCCCCGAAACTCAAGAAAGACCATGAAATACTATAATCCTTATGATGGGAGCCCCAAGAAGGTACCCCTAGTCTTGAGAAACCCTAAACCCTAAACCCTGCATATCCCTATAGAATCCCTATATATCCCTATAACCCCTTTACAGGTACTCCAAATTTGGGAAGCCCCGTATTAGGTGGTAGATCCCACCAGGTAGCCTTCAGGAAACGGTGCGTCTTGCCAGCTGGAGCCGACCTGCTGTATGAGGATTTAGGGTTTCCTTAGGTCCATTAGAAGGGGTATATAAGGATTTGAAGGATGCTATTTCGGGCTTGGGTGGTTTTAGGGTCTGAGTTTTAGGGTTTAGGGTCTGGGGAGATAAGGGCGCAGAGATTGGGGCTGAGGATTTGGGTTTAGGGATCAGGGGATTAGCGTGGGCGGGTTGGGGTCCGAGGTGTAGGAATTCAGGGTAGCCGTTGCGCAGGCGCGTTTGGGCAATCGTGTAATTTCTGAAAATGTCACTCCTTGCCATGTCTGTTTTCGCATGTTCAAACGCCCCGCGTGTCATGTCAAACATGTGGGGAGTTCCTGAACCCAAATACTCTCGAAGCGATCCTTGCACAAAATCCCTTAGCCTCACCGCGGAGGGTAAATCTTGCATCATGGCACACATGCTTCTATAGGATGCAGCAGTTGTAGTCGAAACATGTTTCATTTGCGCAGTCAGGTATCAGCAACGAGCTTCCCGAAATGTCCCGGCTGCCCCGAAGACCCAGTTGAAAGCAGCTTTACTTTCATCAACTCCGGAGCCCAAAGAATGCAGCCTGGAAATTGGACCCGGCTCCCTTTGTCACGGTTTAGGGTGTAGGGGTCCTGCTGATTGGGCTATGGTTGTTGTCTCGTGCGCTGTGGCCTAGCGCATAGCCGCACAGACTAGCATCCCATGACAGAACGCACTTAGATCAGATGTGCTCAACTGGACAGACGTCAACAGACTGTCCGCTTCATCAAAACCCTTCCTCCAGATTCAACCAGGAAGCTTGAAAACATCCAGGGTCCTCATGTGCCAGCAAAGCCCTGCCATTTGGGAATTTACCAACCACGCCCGCCTGCTTGTCCAAGTATTGTGCAAACTGTTTGCCGGTGGTTACACCAGCAGCTTTCAGTTGTTTCTCTTCCAGGAGAGGACCAACTTTCAAGTTGGCCTCCACCAGGTCTGAATATACCTCAGGCGTTTATAATAGGGTTTAGGGGTTTAGTGGTTTTGGGCTTTGCGGTCATGGGGGTTTGCAGTTTAGGGTTTAGGGTTTGGGGTTCAAGGACTTTCTACATGGGCGCAGAACCGGAAGAGACTGGGAATTCAGGGTATATGCTGAGGACAGTGGGATGTTGCAAGCTAGAACTGGCAACGGGATGTGATGTTTCCCTTTGCTGTTCTTAAAGAAGACTTTGGTTATCATATATTAAAAAAAAGATCGTAATATATTATCGCCTGTGATAACATATTGAAAGTATGTCATAGCATGTTATAGTACAATATTGTATATCCAAAGTAGATTGTAATCCCTTGCGTTCAGTGGGGAGCTCACCATTCGCGAAGGAGGAACATGAAGACAAACGCCGTGTGCTGTACAGCCACGGCACGAGGTCTCGACAGTCATTGTAAACCTTCCATGTTTTGCTGTAAGAGATGTTGTAAAACTTCTCCTTGTTGAGCCAGTAGTTGGTCCAATCCTGAGTGCAGACAAAGTTGGAAGTGGGTCAACAAAGATATGCAACCCT